TTAAGAGTGTTGTGCCAGTAACCGAAAGGTCGCTGGTTCTAATCCCCGAGCCGACTAGGTGAAACATCTGTCGATGTGCCCTTGAGCAAGGCACTTAACCCTAATTGCTCCTGTAAGTCGCTCTGGATAAGAGCGTCTGCTAAATGACTAAAATGTAATAGTCCGCTGCTGGAAAAACGTATGTGTTATGGCTTTACTCCACCTGCTATATTGTGGATACAGAGTTACCCGTCTTCTTTAATGGAAGCCTCTCCAACATCATCCAGGTAGAATCAGGAATTCCCCAGGGTAGCTGTCTAGGCCCCTTACTTTTTTCAATCTTTACTAACGACATGCCACTGGCTTTGAGTAAAGCCAGTGTGTCTATGTATGCGGAATTTGCGGATGACTCAACACTATACACGTCAGCTACTAGAGCAAGTGAAATGACTGCAACACTTAACAAAGAGTTGCAGTTAGTTTCAAAATGGGTGGCAAGGAATAAGTTAGTCCTAAATATTTCTAAAACTAAAAGCATTGTATTTGGGACAAATCATTCACTAAACCCTAAACCTCTAAATGTTGTAATAAATAATGTGGAAATTGAACAAGTTGAGGTGACTAAACTGCTTGGAGTAACCCTGGATTGTAGATTTTCATGGTCAAAGCATTTTGATACAACAGTAGCTAAAATGGGGAGAAGTATGTCCATAATAAAGCGCTACTCTACCTTCTTAACAACACTATCAACAAGGCAGGTCCTACAGGCTCTAGTTTTGTTACAATTGGATCAGAACAGGGCAGCACGGCTGGCCCTTGGATGTATACGGAGAGCTAACATTAATGATATGCATGTCAATCTCTCATGGCTCAAAGTGGAAGAGAGATTGACTTCATCACTACTTGTTTTTGTAAGAAGTGTTGACATGATGAATGCACCGAGGTGTCTGTTTAAACTACTAGCACACAGCTCGGACACCCATGCATACCCCACAAGATATGCCACCAGAGGTCTCTTCACAATCCCCAAGTCCAGAACAGACTATGGGAGGTGCACAGTACTACATAGAGCCATGACTACATGGAACTCTATTCCACATCAAGTAACTGATGCAAGCAGTAGAATCAGATTGAAAAAAACAGATAAAAATAAATCTTATGGAACAGCGGGACTGTGAAGAAACACACACACAGGCACATACACATGATAAGACACGCACTCTACACACACGTACACATGGATGTTATATTGTATCAGCTCAGCATTCAACACCATAGTGCCCTCAAAGCTCATCACTAAGCTAAGGACCCTGGGACTAAACACCTCCCTCTGCAACTGGATCCTGCACTTCCTGACGGGCCGCCCCCAGGTGGTAAGGGTAGGTAACAACACATCTGCCACACTGATCCTCAACACGGGGGCCCCTCAGGGGTGCGTGCTCAGTCCCCTCCTGTACTCCCTGTTCACCCATGACTGCATGGCCAGGCACGACTCCAACACCATCATTAAGTTTGCCGACGACACAACAGTGGTAGGCCTGATCACCGACAACGATGAGACAGCCTATAGGGAGGAGGTCAGAGACCTGGCCGTGTGGTGCCAGGATAACAACCTCTCCCTCAACGTGACCAAGACAAAGGAGATGATTGTGGACTACAGGAAAAAAAAAAAGAGGACTGAGCACGCCCCCATTCTCATCGACGGGGCTGTAGTGGAACAGGTTGAGAGCTTCAAGTTCCTTGGTGTCCACATCACCAACGAACTATCATGGTCCAAACACACCAAGACAGTCGTGAAGAGGGCACGACAAAGCCTATTCCCCCTCAGGAGACTGAAAAGATTTGGCATGGGGTCCTCAGATCCTCAAAAAATTATACAGCTGCACCATCGAGAGCATCCTGACTGGTTGCATCACCGCCTGGTATGGCAACTGCTTGGCCTCCGACCGCAAGGCACTACAGAGGGTAGTGCGTACGGCCCAGTACATCACTGGGGCCAAGCTTCCTGCCATCCAGGACCTCTATACCAGGCGGTGTCAGAGGAAGGCCCTCAAAATTGTCAAAGACTCCAGCCACCCTAGTCATAGACTGTTCTCTCTGCTACCGCACGGCAAGCGGTACCGGAGTGCCAAGTCTAGGTCCAAAAGACTTCTCAACAGCTTCTACCCCCAAGCCATAAGACTCCTGAACAGCTAATCATGGCTACCCGGACTATTTGCACTGCCCCCCCACCCCATCTTTTTACGCTGCTGCTACTCTGTTAATTATTTATGCATAGTCACTTTAACTCTACCCACATGTACATATTTCTTCAACTACCTCAACTAGCCGGTGCCCCCGCACATTGACTCTGCACCGGTACCCCCCTGTATATATAGCCTCCCTACTGTTATTTTATTTTACTTCTGCTCTTTTTTTCTCAACACTTTTTTTGTTGTTGTTTTATTTTACTTTTTTATTAAAAATAAATGCACTGTTGGTTAAGGGCTGTAAGTAAGCATTTCACTGTAATGTCTGCACCTGTTGTATTCGGCGCATGTGGCCAATACAATTTGATTTTATTTTATTTGTAAATATGTGATAGTGGAGTAGTGGCCTGAGGGAACACACTAAATCTATTGGGTAAAGTGTTATGAAATATAATGTCATGTAATGTTTTAAATGGTATATAACTGCCTTAATGTTGCAGGACCCCAGGAAGAGTAGCCTGGGGATGCTTAATAAATACAAAATTACTACAGCTAAAATTACAGTTACTTGTATCATTATGCATTTAGGATGACTGACTTGTTTTAGCAACATCTACATAAACATTACATCTATATAAACATCTACATTGATATATAAACATGTACATCTATATAAACAGCTACATCTATATAAATTCATGCAATAAACAACATTTTACATTTTAGTCATTTAGCAGACGCTCTTATCCAGAGCGACTTACAGTTAGTGAGTGCATACATTATTTTTAATTTTTTTCATACTGGCCCCCCATGGGAATCGAACCCACAACCCTGGCATTGCAAACGCCATCCCTGTCAGTATGTAAATGTATCATTAACAGATCTAATGACCGCTGCATCAATGGACTGATTGTTGTTGACATGGAGAATTTAGACTGTTGGCATGTCCCTGCTACTGCATACTCCCTCATGTCTCTATGCTTCACAACATCGCAGACCGACAAAATGGGTTTTATACCAGGTTTAACTTGCTATTACAGGCGGATAATTTGAAAATGTCTGCATAACACAGGTCCGTCTCGGCACGGCAGTGCTATGAGATAGACAGGGAAACAGCACCATAGCAGACTGGCGCGGCAGGGAAAGGACTAGACTGGAGGAGGTACCCATCCAGCCTGAGATAGACAGGGAAACAGCACCATAGCAGACTGGCGCGGCAGGGAAAGGACTAGACTGGAGGAGGTACCCATCCAGCCTGAGATAGACAGGGAAACAGCACCATAGCAGACTGGCGCGGCAGGGAAAGGACTAGACTGGAGGAGGTACCCATCCAGCCTGAGATAGACAGGGAAACAGCACCATAGCAGACTGGCGCGGCAGGGAAAGGACTAGACTGGAGGAGGTACCCATCCAGCCTGAGATAGACAGGGAAACAGCACCATAGCAGACTGGCGCGGCAGGGAAAGGACTAGACTGGAGGAGGTACCCATCCAGCCTGAGATAGACAGGGAAACAGCACCATAGCAGACTGGCGCGGCAGGGAAAGGACTAGACTGGAGGAGGTCCCCATCCAGCCTGAGATAGACAGGGAAACAGCACCATAGCAGACTGGCGCGGCAGGGAAAGGACTAGACTGGAGGAGGTACCCATCCAGCCTGACCTCGAATGACGTATCCTCCCCTTATATGATTTAGCTACATTCGCAAGGTGTGGTGCCTCAAGCTATCACATATCCGACCACGTTCCACCGCAAATACATACATTACATGTTTATAGGCATCACAGCATGACAAAATACATTTGAATGGAAATTGACTTAAAGCTGTCGCGGATCTGAAACCTGATGGTCTAGTCTGTATAGTTAATGGATGCGCTAGACTAGAGAGCTGTATTCGCATAATGACTAGCTACACCTACGTCTTCTAGGCCTCACCAACCGTTTCTCCCCCCGCCGCCATTAGTCTTGGCCTTAGATGACCTGACATAATGTCAACAACCTCTGGAACAGAGAAACACTTAAAGGCCCGAGTCAAACCGCTTAGCTAACGTTGTAGCTAATAGATCAACTGGAATCAGTCTAGAAGTTGTTGCCGCTCCTCTTCTTTGTCCACAGCGCTGTAATGGCCAGTGTAATTGATCAACAAAAGGCCCGACCGTCCATGACAGTACATGACCATGTTACAACATGTTTCTGGAACCGGCATACAGTACCGTTACCGGGGGAGCTACTGTCGGTTGCTAACTATAGGTAACTTAATAACAGAAATAGCCCGTATTGTTAGCTAACGCTATCTTTATCTCAGTGAAACAACTGGTTAACCTCTACACTGTCATAAAACACGTTAGATATGAACATTTTCATTATTCTACAAAGCCAAGAGTTTGATAGTGTTGTTAGGGGTTGACTAACGTCAGCTAGTTAAATATCTGAACCAGCTAATCTCACTAGCTAAACCAACGGTTTCATCATTAACCAACAATGACATTCATAGCTAAACAGCATTGGCAGTCTACCTACAATGTCAAAACAAGTAAATACAATTCAAAACATAAGTTACAACAAAAGACTAATACACTTATCTACAGTAAGAGTAGCCATGAAGAATAATTCTCACCTTTGCGGAATTCGCTCTTTAACGACCGGGACGTTTTCATCAACGGAGTGCGGGAACGCGTCAACAGGATTAACGCCATGCTCCTGGTTCTGATAAACTGCTAACGTTAGCGGACTGTAGCTGATTAGCCAACTGGTTCAAACTAATGGGGAATGGAAAACCAACGCTAATGCGCTGCTGGTTACTTTAATATGTCACTAGCTGAACTTCTCGCCCCATGTACTTTGCTTTCTCGGTGGATGCCTGCTGCGAGGTGGATGAACTGCGGCTTACATTGGCTTCTGGCTTCCGGCTTCCGTCTTCGTCTTTCTTCTTCTTCTTCTTCTTTAAAGTTTAATGGCAGACTACACCTATTGGTGTATTGCCGCCACCTACTGTACCGGGTATTGAAACGAAACAAAAAATAATATATTCCATTGCAGGGGGAGGGGACCGAGATAATACAAAAATAAATCAAACAACCATCCCACTCCTTCAGTCACATTCAAATCACATCTCTACACAGGCTCAGGTGCCTGTGGGGACGGAGCAGTCATCGACAGGATTCCTTGTAATGCCTCTGGAGAAAAGTCCCTGAGTCCCCAAAAATGCTCAGCCGTACTCACAATGATGCCTACTTTCTCAGATTTCCTCTCTGTTTGCATTCACTTCTAGCGCCACACAAGAGATAAAACCCTTGATAGGCACCCTGCTTCGAAGATCGACACACAACACATTCCAATGCAACATCTTGAGGCGCAGAGCACGCTCCTTCTGTACCGTAGAAATACAATAAAACGAAATAAGCCCACTTCTCCTTATTCTTACTTACGCCACCTCACCCACCTCACCCACCTCACCACTTCACCCACTCCCCCACTCACCCAAGACCCCCTCACCCACCTCACCACTTCAACCCACCACCCCGATCCACTCACCACCTCCCCACCCTCACCCACATCCACCAAATCACCACCTCACCCAACGAAAACCCACCTACCCACCTCACCCAACCGGCCCACCAAAGCACCAACTCACCACCTCACCCACCACTCACCTCACCCAACTAAAAAAAAATCCCACCTCACCCACCTCACCCGCCCACCCCATCACCCACCTCACCCAAAAGCACCCACCTCCCCACCACCACCTCACCCAACCCGCACCCCCTCACCCCAAACTCACCCACCTCACCCACCTCACCCACCTCACCCACCTCACCCCACCTCACCCACCTCACCCACCTCACCCACCTCACCCAACGCACCCACCCCCACCCACCTCACCCAACTCACCCACCTCACCCAACGCACCCACCTCACCCAACGCACCCACCACCCACGCACCCACCTCACCCACCTCACCCAACTCACCCACCTCACCCAACGCACCCACCTCACCCACCACCACCTCACCCACCTCACCCACCTCACCCACTCACCCAACGCACCCACCTCACCCACCTCACCCAACGCACCCACCTCACCCCCTCACCCACCGCACCACCACCTACCAACCCACCCGCACCAAGTCACCACCTACACACCCACCTCACCACCACACCCTCACCCTCACCCACCTCACCCAACGCACCCACCTCACCCACCTCACCCAATGCACCCACCTCACCCAACGCACCCACCTCACCCACCTCACCCAACGCACCCACCTCACCCAACGCATCCAACATTTTAATAGAAACTTAAAAACGGATCTTTCAGGTAACAACATCGATTCAAAACCCTTATTACAACAAAAGACTCAGAACTAGGTTTGGATTGACTAGTTTCCACTACCACTTCTCTTATTGACTAGTTTCCACTACCACTTCTCTTATTGACTAGTTTCCACTACCACTTCACTGTCTTGACTTTTCACTTGACTTCTTATGTTTCCCACTCCCACTCACTTCTCTTATTGACTAGTTTCCACTACCACTTCACTTCTCTTATTGACTAGTTTCCACTACCACTTCTCTTATTGACTAGTTTCCACTACCACTTCTCTTATTGACTAGTTTCCACTACCACTTCACTTCTCTTATTGACTAGTTTCCACTACCACTTCTCTTATTGACTAGTTTCCACTACCACTTCTCTTATTGACTAGTTTCCATTACCACTTCTCTTATTGACTAGTTTCCACTACCACTTCACTTCTCTTATTGACTAGTTTCCACTACCACTTCTCTTATTGACTAGTTTCCACTACCACTTCTCTTATTGACTAGTTTCCACTACTACTTCTCTTATTGACTAGTTTCCACTACAACTTTTCTTATTGACTAACTACTCATGGTGTGATTGTGATAACATACAGAAACTCAAGTCCTTCTCTTCACCCGACCTAGAATACCTCACAATCAAATACCAACCGTATTTGTGCAAATCAATCCCAGAACAACAGCAAAGGATCTTCAAATCAAATCAAATCAAATCAAATTTTATTGGTCACATGCGCCGAATACAACAGGTGCAGACATTACAGTGAAATGCTTACTTACAGCCCTTAACCAACAGTGCATTTATTTTAAACAAAAAAAGTAAGAATAAAACAACAACAAAAAAAGTGATGAGAGAAAAAGAGCAGAAGTAAAATAAAGTGACAGTAGGGAGGCTATATATACAGTAAAATAAAGTGACAGTAGGGAGGCTATATATACAGGGGGGTACCGTTGCAGAGTCAATGTGCGGGGGCACCGGCTAGTTGAGGTAGTTGAGGTAATATGTACATGTGGGTAGAGTTAAAGTGACTATGCATAAATACTTAACAGAGTAGCAGCAGCGTAAAAAGGATGGGGTGGGGGGGCAGTGCAAATAGGCCGGGTAGCCATGATTAGCTGTTCAGGAGTCTTATGGCTTGGGGGTAGAAGCTGTTGAGAAGTCTTTTGGACCTAGACTTGGCACTCCGGTACCGCTTGCCGTGCGGTAGCAGAGAGAACAGTCTATGACTAGGGTGGCTGGAGTCTTTGACAATTTTGAGGGCCTTCCTCTGACACCGCCTGGTATAGAGGTCCTGAATGGCAGGGAGCTTTGCCCCAGTGATGTACTGGGCCGTACGCACTACCCTCTGTAGTGCCTTGCGGTCAGAGGCCAAGCAGTTGCCATACCAGGCGGTGATGCAACCAGTCAGGATGCTCTCGATGGTGCAGCTGTAGAATTTTTTGAGGATCTGAGGACCCATGCCAAATCTTTTTAGTCTCCTGAGGGGGAATAGGCTTTGTCGTGCCCTCTTCACGACTGTCTGGGTGTGTTTGGACCATGATAGTTCGTTGGTGATGTGGACACCAAGGAACTTGAAGCTCTCAACCTGTTCCACTACAGCCCCGTCGATGAGAATGGGGGCGTGCTCAGTCCTCTTTTTTTTCCTGTAGTCCACAATCATCTCCTTTGTCTTGGTCACGTTGAGGGAGAGGTTGTTGTCCTGGCACCACACGGCCAGATCTCTGACCTCCTCCCTATAGGCTGTCTCATCGTTGTCGGTGATCAGGCCTACCACTGTTGTGTCGTCGGCAAACTTAATGATGGTGTTGGAGTCGTGCCTGGCCATGCAGTCATGGGTGAACAGAGAGTACAGGAGGGGACTGAGCACGCACCCCTGAGGGGCCCCCGTGTTGAGGATCAGTGTGGCAGATGTGTTGTTACCTACCCTTACCACCTGGGGGCGGCCCGTCAGGAAGTCCAGGATCCAGTTGCAGAGGGAGGTGTTTAGTCCCAGGATCCTTAGCTTAGTGATGAGCTTAGAGGGCACTATGGTGTTGAATGCTGAGCTGTAGTCAATGAATAGCATTCTCACGTAGGTGTTCCTCTTGTCCAGGTGGGAAAGGGCAGTGTGGAGTGCGATAGAGATTGCATCATCTGTGGATCTGTTGGGGCGGTATGCAAATTGGAGTGGGTCTAGGGTTTCTGGGATTATGCTGTTGATGTGAGCCATGACCAGTCTTTCAAAGCACTTCATGGCTACAGACGTCAGTGCTACGGGTCGGTAGTCATTTAGGCAGGTTATCTTAGAGTTCTTGGGCACGGGGACTATGGTGGTCTGCTTGAAACATGTTGGTATTACAGACTCAGTCAGGGACATGTTGAAAATGTCAGTGAAGACACTTGCCAGTTGGTCAGCACATGCTCGGAGTACACGTCCTGGTAATCCGTCTGGCCCTGCGGCCTTGTGAATGTTGACCTGCTTAAAAGTCTTACTCACATCGGCTACGGAGAGCGTGATCACATAGTCATCCGGAACAGCTGGTGCTCTCATGCATGCTTCAGTGTTGCTTGCCTCGAAGCGAGCATAGAAGTGGTTTAGCTCGTCTGGTAGGCTTGTGTCACTGGGCAGCTCGCGGCTGTGCTTCCCTTTGTAGTCTGTAATAGTTTTCAAGCCCTGCCACATCCGACGAGCGTCAGAGCCAGTGTAGTATGATTCAATCTTAGACCTGTATTGACTCTTTGCCTGTTTGATGGTTCGTCGGAGGTCATAGCGGGATTTCTTATAAGCGTCCGGGTTAGAGTCCCGTTCCTTGAAAGCGGCAGCTCTACCCTTTAGCTCAGTGCGGATGTTTCCTGTAATCCATGGCTTCTGGTTGGGGTATGTACGTACGGTCACTGTGGGGACGACATCATCGATGCACTTATTGATGAAGCCAGTGACTGATGTGGTGTACTCCTCAATGCTGTCTGAAGAATCCCGGAACATGTTCCAGTCTGTGCTAGCAAAACAGTCCTGTAGCTTAGCATCTGCGTCATCTGACCACTTTTTTATTAACCGAATCACTGGTGCTTCATGCTTCAGTTTTTGCTTATAAGCAGGAATCAGGAGGATAGAGTTATGGTCAGATTTGCCAAATGGAGGGCGAGGGAGAGCTTTGTATGCGTCTCTGTGTGTGGAGTAAAGGTGGTCTAGAGTTTTTTTCCCTCTGGTTGCACATTTAACATGCTGGTAGAAATGAGGTAGAACGGATTTAAGTTTCCCTGCATTAAAGTCCCCGGCCACTAGGAGCGCTGCATCTGGATGAGCGTTTTCCTGTTGATTAATGGCCTTGTACAACTCATTCAGAGCAATCTTAATGCCAGCATTGGTTTGTGGTGGTAAATAGACAGCTATGAAAAATATAGATGAAAACTCTCTTGGTAAATAGTGTGGTCTACAGCTTATCATAAGATATAATAATAATAATAGGTCATTTAGCAGACGCTCTTATCCAGAGCGACTTACAGGAGCAATTAGGGTTAAGTGCCTTGCTCAGGGGCACATCGACAGATTTTTCACCTAGTCGGCTCGGGGATTTGAACCAGCGACCTTTCGGTTACTGGCACAACGCTCTTAACCACTAAGCTACCTGCCGCCCCCCATAAGATACTCTACCTCAGGCGAGCAAAACCTCGAGACTTCCTTAGTATTTGATTTTGTGCACCAGCTGTTGTTTACAAATATACACAGACCGCCGCCCCTTGTCTTACCAGAGTCAGACGTTCTGTCCTGCCGATGTAGCGTATAGCCTGCTAGCTGAATGTTATCATTGTTGTCGTTCAGCCACGACTCCGTGAAACATAAGATATTACAGTTTTTAATGTCCCGTTGGTAGGATAACCGTAATCTTAACTCGTCCATTTTATTCTCAAAAGATTGAACGTTGGCTAGTAGGATTGATGGGAGAGGCAGTTTACTCGCTCGCCGTCGGATCCTTACAAGGCACCCGGATCTGCGTCCGCGATATCTCCGTCTCTTCCTCACGCGAATGACGGGGATCTGGGCCTTGTCGGGTGTCTGTAGGATATCCTTCGCGACCGCCTCGTTGAAGAAAAAACCACTTATTGTGGGAAGCTTGTGGAAGGCTAACCGAAACGTTTGACCCAAGTTAATCAATTTTAAAGGCAATGCTACCAAATACTAATTGAGTGTATGTAAACTTCTGACCCACTGGGAATGTGATGAAATAAATAAAAGCTGAAATAAATCATTCTCTACTATTATTCTGACATTTCACATTCTTAAAATAAAGTGGTGATCCTAACTGACCTAAGACAGGGAATGTTTACTAGGATTAAATGTCAGGAATTGTGAAAAACAGAGTTTAAATGTATTTGGCTAAGGTGCAGGTAGCTTAGTGGTTAAGAGCGTTGTGCCAGTAACCGAAAGGTCGCTGGTTCTAATCCCCGAGCCGACTAGGTGAAAATCTGTCGATGTGCCCTTGAGCAAGGCACTTAACCCTAATTGCTCCTGTAAGTCGCTCTGGATAAGAGCGTCTGCTAAATGACTAAAATGTAAACTTACGACTTCAACTGTACATTCATGCACTTTGAAAATAATTTCGTAACTTTGCCCCCAATGCATTTAACTGCAGGGCACTCCTACATCATATGAAGGAATGTGCCCACCTGATTTAGGGGACACAGTGAAAAGTTGGGAGTTGGGGACAATTTCATCGTAAAACATTTCCTTAGTGTTAAATACAGTCTCAAAAATTAAAATACATAAATTGATGGTTCAGATTATGGGATGCCAAAGTCATATTTATCCATATTCTGTTCCAGTTAAAGGGTTGTTCAGATTCAATTAGATCTGTGGACCATACTTTTTTTTAATGGTTAGCTCAGAATATGAGCTTTCCAAAAGTGTTGTGTATATTATAGAGATCAGTCCTTTCGGAAGCCCAGATAATTCATTTATAAATCCCATCATTGAATGGTTCGGTAGTTGTGTTTCCCGAGGGACTCCATTGGCCAGCATAGATGACTTATCTTGTAAATATAGAAAAATGTGGTAATGTGTATGTATCTTTCAAATCTTGAAATGTTCTCAAACCAATACTGTCCATGATAATCGGTAAGGGTACGGATTCCACATTTGGACCAATGGGGGGATGCAAAAGGCAAGTCATTATTGTGAAATATTGGAGTATGGGCACGCCATTTTGATTCCCAGTTACATTGTTTTTCATTTTTAGGCCAAATAGAAATTGTGTGAGCAATAATAGGACCAAAGCGTAGTTTACATTTATTTAAGAATATATCAGTGAAGACCACCTCTTCCAGGGCAATAAGGAAGCACTGTATTTCTCTCTCTACTCAGCCAGGGGGCAGAAGAATCATGTCTAAACCAATTTAGGATGGGGCGAAATGCTAGTGGCTGGAAATACTATTTTTAGTTTGGTACGGACAGTCATCTTAGGTCTTTCCCTGTTTGTAAATGTTTTAATTTTAGCATCCGGGATCGTTTACCTTGCCATATACATTTTGAAACCGCACTATGAATTTTGATCCCAATAGGCAGAAGGGGGAGCCATGAGCATTGAACTACAGAAATTCAGCCGTTGCAATATATTAATTTTGACAATAGATATTTTGCCGGTTAAAGCAACTGGGATATTGTTCCATCTACTGAGGTCGGATTTAATTGATTGGAGCATTCTGTTAAAGTTTCTGGCAATGGTTTTATCTAATGAAGGAAATATATCTACTCCGAAATATTTAAAACGGTAAAGGATTGGGATTCCATAAGTAGAGATGGAGTCCTCCATCGGGGTCTTGAGGCAGTAGGGATGATTTTGGTTATATTAATTTTATAACTTGAAATTAAGCGATTTTGAGATGCATTGTCTAGATACAGTGAAATATTGTCTGCGTATAGTGAAATATTGTCTGCGTATAGTGAAATATTGTCTGCGTATAGTGAAATGTGTTATTTCCTTCGATTGACGAGTTGGACCAGGGGTTCTATAGAAAAGAATAGCAGAGGTGAGATCGGATCACTGTAGTTATTCTGACCGGAACAGGTACTGCTTGTCATTACTATGGGATCACTTTGCCTGCTACTTGTAGTTATTCTGACCGGAACAGGTACTGCTTGTCATTACTATGGGATCACTTTGCCTGCTACTTGTAGTTATTCTGACCGGAACAGGTACTGCTTGTCATTACTATGGGATCACTTTGCCTGCTACTTGTAGTTATTCTGACCGGAACAGGTACTGCTTGTCATTACTATGGGATCACTTTGCCTGCTACTTGTAGTTATTCTGACCGGAACAGGTACTGCTTGTCATTACTATGGGATCACTTTGCCTGCTACTTGTAGTTATTCTGACCGGAACAGGTCCTGCTTGTCATTACTATGGGATCACTTTGCCTGCTACTTGTAGTTATTCTGAACGGAACAGGTACTGCTTGTCATTACTATGGCTAAGGGATTGGCAAATACAGCGCCTTCAGAAAGTATTCATACCCCTTGACTTTTTCCAAATTTTGTTGTGTTTCAGCCTGAATTCAAAATGTTACAATCACCTTTGGCAGCGATTTACAGCTGTGAGTCTTTCTGAGTAAGTCTAAGCGCTTTGGACACCTGGATTGTACAACATAAGTTTACCATCACACTTTGTTATTATCAGTAACATTTCATTATTCAGATTGACGCACTAAACCATTCACACCAAGTCCAATGAGTTTTTCCCTCCACCTTTCTGAGCTATTGGCATAACGTCACTGTCACGATCGTCAAAAGGAGCGGACCAATGCGCAGCGTTGCGAGTGAACATGATGACTTTATTATTTAAAGCAACCACTAAGAAAACAACAAATGACGATACGTGAAGTTCAAAATACTGATACAAACTAACAGCAACACGGAAACAATAACCCACAAAACAAAGGAGAAAACACACAGAATATATATGGCTCCCAATCAGAGATAACGAGCCGACAGCTGACACTCGTTACCTCCGATTGGGAGTCATAGACCAATCACCACAACACAAACAAAATGAAACTCACCCATCCCCAACACCACCAAATGAAATACACCCAAACACATGAAAATGAACAACCCTGGCTCAATATTCAAAGTCCATAGAGCCAGAGTGTCACAGTACCCCCCCCTAAAGGTGCGAACTCCGGGCGCACCAACATCAGGACTAGGGGAGGGTCTGGGTGGGCGTCTGTCCATGGTGGCGGCTCTGGCCCCGGTCGTGATCCCCACCCCACCACAGTCACAACCTGCTTCGGTAGCTTCCTCCCAATGACCACCCTCCAACTAACCCCACCTGGACTAAGGGGCAACACCGGACTAAGGGGCAGCATCGGCCTAAGGGGCAGCACCGGGATAAGGGGCAGCACCGGGATAAGGGGCAGCACCGGGACAAGGGGCAGCACCGGGCTAAGGGGCAGCACCGGACTAAGGGGCAGCACCGGACTACGGGGCAGCACCGGGCTAAGGGACAGTACCTGACTAAGGGGCAGCACCGGACTAAGGGGCAGTACCAGGCTGAATGGCGGATCCCGGCTGGTCGGCTCTGGCGGATCCCGGCTGGACGGCTCTGGCGGATCCCGGCTGGACGGCTCTGGCGGATCCCGGCGGGACGGCTCTGGCGGATCCCGGCGGGACGGCTCTGGCGGATCCAGGCTGGACGGCTCTGGCAGATCCTGGCGGGACGGCTCTGGCGGATCCTGGCTGGACGGCTCTGGCGGATCCTGGCTGGACTGCTCTGGCGGACCCTGGCTGGACGGCTCTGGCGGACCCTGGCTGGACGGCTCTGGCGGACCCTTGCTGGACGGCTCTGGCGGATCCTGGCTGGACGGCTCTGGCGGATCCTGGCTGGACGGCTCTGGCGGATCCTGGCTGGACGGCTCTGGCGGATCCTGGCTGGACGGCTCTGGCGGATCCTGGCTGGACGGCTCTGGCGGATCCTGGCGGGACGGCTCTGGCGGATCCAGGCTGGACGGCTCTGGCGGATCCTGGCGGGACGGCTCTGGCGGATCCAGGCTGGACGGCTCTGGCGGATCCTGGCTGGACGGCTCTGGCGGATCCTGGCTGGACGGCTCTGGCGGATCCTGGCTGGACGGCTCTGGCGGATCCTGGCTGGACGGCTCTGGCGGATCCTGGCTGGACGGCTCTGGCGGATCCTGGCGGGACGGCTCTGGCGGATCCAGGCGGGACGTCTCTGGCGGATCCTGGCGGGACGGCTCTGGCGGATCCAGGCTGGACGGCTCTGGCGGATCCTGGCTGGACGGCTCTGGCGGATCCAGGCTGGACGGCTCTGGCGGATCCTGGCTGGACGGCTCTGGCGGATCCTGGCTGGACGGCTCTGGCGGATCCTGGCGGGACGGCTCTGGCGGATCCAGGCTGGACGGCTCTGGCGGATCCTGGCGGGACGGCTCTGGCGGATCCAGGCTGGACGGCTCTGGCGGATCCTGGCTGGACGGCTCTGGCGGATCCTGGCTGGACGGCTCTGGCGGATCCTGGCTGGTCGGCTCTGGCGGATCCTGGCTGGACGGCTCTGGCGGATACTGGCTGGCTGACGGATCTGGCTGCTCATGGCTGGCTGACGGATCTGGCTGCTCATGGCTGGCTGACGGATCTGGCTGCTCATGGCTGGCTGACGGATCTGGCTGCTCATGGCTGGCTGACGGATCTGGCTGCTCATGGCTGGCTGACGGATCTGGCTGCTCATGGCTGGCTGACGGATCTGGCTGCTCATGGCTGGCTGACGGATCTGGCTGCTCATGGCTGGCTGACGGGTCTGGCTGCTCATGGCTGGCTGACGGGTCTGGCTGCTCATGGCTGGCTGACGGGTCTGGCTGCTCATGGCTGGCTGACGGATCTGGCTGCTCATGGCTGGCTGACGGATCTGGCTGCTCATGGCTGGCTGACGGATCTGGCTGCTCATGGCTGGCTGACGGATCTGGCTGCTCATGGCTGGCTGACGGATCTGGCTGCTCATGGCTGGCTGACGGATCTGGCTGCTCATGGCTGGTTGACAGATCTGGCTGCTCATGGCTGGCTGACGGATCTGGCTGCTCATGGCTGGCTGACGGATCTGGCTGCTCATGGCTGGCTGACGGGTCTGGCTGCTCATGGCTGGCTGACGGGTCTGGCTGCTCATGGCTGGCTGACGGGTCTGGCTGCTCATGGCTGGCTGACGGATCTGGCTGCTCATGGCGGGCTGACGGATCTGGCTGCTCATGGCTGGCTGACGGATCTGGCTGCTCATGGCTGGCTGACGGATCTGGCTGCTCATGGCTGGCTGACGGATCTGGCTGCTCATGGCTGGTTAACAGATCTGGCTGCTCATGGCTGGCTGATGGTGCTGGCTGGGAGGCTGGCGGTGGAGGCGGACCCCAGCCTCGGATTGCAGTCATCACCTCCAGCAGGGCGGCTCCCATCTGCAGGAGCTGCTCTTTCTGGTCCCGAACCTGAGCTTCCAGTCTAGTATGGGCTGCGTCGGCTCCTGCTGATTCCATAGCAGGTGTATGATTCTGTCTGGCGGCAGGCTCTAGCGGCTCCTGTCTGGCGGAAGGCTCTAGCGGCTCCGATCTGGCGGACGGCTCTGAAGGCTCATGGCAGACGGACGGCTTTGCAGGCTCAGTACAGACGGGCGGCTTATGCAGCGCTTGGCAGACGGGCAGTTCAGACGCCCTAGGGCAGACGGCAGACTCTGGCCGGCTGGCGACGCACATCGTGGACCTGGTGCGTGGAGTAGGAACAGGCCGGTCCATACCGGGAACACACACCAATGGCCTTAACTGCGGATCAGGAACGGGCCGGACCGGACTGGTAACACACTTCAGTCTCTCATGCCGTGCCACAACAACTTCCCTCCTTCCACTCGCCAATGGCTCCCATACTCCGTTAGCCTTCTCTCCTTTTCTCCCTGTGGCAGCCTCCTGCTGCCCAGCTGCCCAAGCCATGTGCCCCCCCCAAAAAATTTCTTGGGGTTGCCTCTCTTCCACGGGCTTCCAGCCTTGCCTTCGCGCTGCCTCCTCGTACCACCTCCTCTCGGCTTTGGCTGCCTCCAGCTCTTCACGAGGGAGGCGATATTCTCCCGGTTGTGCCCAAGGATCCTTTCCGTCCAATAACTCTTCCCATGTCCAGACCCTCGGCTCCTGGACACGCTTGTTACGCTGCTTGGTCCTTTTGTGGTGGGTTATTCTGTCAAGATCGTCAAAAGGAGCGGACCAATGCGCAGCGTTGCGAGTGAACATGATGACTTTATTATTTAAAGCAACCACTAAGAAAACAACAAATGACGATACGTGAAGTTCAAAATACTGATACAAACTAACAGCAACACGGAAACAATAACCCACAAAACAAAGGAGAAAACACACAGAATATATATGGCTCCCAATCAGAGATAACGAGCCGACAGCTGACACTCGTTACCTCCGATTGGGAGTCATAGACCAATCACCACAACACAAACAAAATGAAACTCACCCATCCCCAACACCACCAAATGAAATACACCCAAACACATGAAAATGAACAACCCTGGCTCAATATTCAAAGTCCATAGAGCCAGAGTGTCACAGTCACTAATGGTGGTGCTGTCATTCTCTGTGCCAATAAGTTGTTCCAAGGTCGCAGTAATGAGGCAAATCATATACTACTGGAAAAAATAATATGCTACTAAATATATTAGGATATAGGCTATGCATCCTATAGGATGAATCATGATTGGCTACGTTTCATTAAGTCACACCCCATTTAATGAGAGAGGAAACACAAAACTGGCACCTGTCATTACTCACATTCATATGCTGCATTTAAACAATGTATACACTGCGTTGATAAAACATTAGGAACTCTTTCCATGACAGACTGACCAGGTGAATCCAGGTGAAAGCTATGATCCCTTATTGATGTCACTTGTTAAATCCACTTCAATCAGTGTAGATGAAGGGGAGGAGACAGGTTAAAGAAGGATTTTTAAGCCTTGAGACAATTGAGACATGGATTGTGTATGTGTGCCATTCAGAGGGTGAATGGGCAAGACAAACGATTTTCAATGCCATTGAACGGGGTATGGTAGTAGGTGCCAGGTGCACCAGTTTGAGTCTGTCAAGAACTGCAACGTTGCTGGGTTTTTCACGCTCAACAGTTTCCTGTGTGTATAAAGAATGGTCCACCACCCAGAGGACATCCAGCCAACTGGACACAACTGGATATTAGGAAGTTGTCCTTAATATTTGGTATACTCAGTGTATCTTTTTAATGTAACTTCTTACAGGGAAGGGGTGGTATAGTGAGGGTTTTTCTGTGGTTGCCGGGAGGGGCAGGAAGGTGGATTATGTCTGATTTGAACCCCTCACAGAAGAAAAAGGAAATGAGAAAAAGTTGGTCACAAAGGTTTATCCGTGATTTGATTGGTTGATGGTGTATCAGTAGTCTGATTGTGTGATGGTGTATCCCTGATTTGATTGGTTGCCTCTCCTGCAGGGTGAGTTTGTGAATGAGTACATCGGAGAGCTGATCGATAAAGAGGAATGTCGCTCCAGGATCAAGTACTACCAGGAGAATGACATCATTCACTTCTACATGCTCACCGTCGACAAGGTAAACTATGACATCACTCACCGCCGACAAGGTAAACTATGACATCACTCACCGTCGACAAGGTAAACTATGACATCACTCACAGTCGACAAGGTAAACTATGACATCACTCACCGTCGACAAGGTAAACTATGACATCACTCACCGTCGACAAGGTAAACTATGACATCACTCACCGTCGACAAGGTAAACTATGACATCACTCACCGTCGGCAAGGTAAACTATGACATCACTCACCGTCGACAAGGTAAACTATGACATCACTCACAGTCGACAAGGTAAACTATGACATCACTCACCGTCGACAAGGTAAACTATGACATCACTCACCGTCGACAAGGTAAACTATGACATCACTCACCGTCGACAAGGTAAACTATGACATCACTCACCGTCGGCAAGGTAAACTATGACATCACTCACCGTCGACAAGGTAAACTATGACATCACTCACCGTCGGCAAGGTAAACTATGACATCACTCACCGTCGACAAGGTAAACTATGACATCACTCACAGTCGACAAGGTAAACTATGACATCACTCACCGTCGACAAGGTAAACTATGACATCACTCACCGTCGACAAGGTAAACTATGACATCACTCACCGTCGACAAGGTAAACTATGACATCACTCACCGTCGACAAGGTAAACTATGACATCACTCACCGTCGACAAGGTAAACTATGACATCACTCACCGTCGACAAGGTAAACTATGACATCACTCACCGTCGACAAGGTAAACTATGACATCACTCACCGTCGACAAGGTAAACTATGACATCACTCACCGTCGGCAAGGTAAACTATGACATCACTCACCGTCGGCAAGGTAAACTATGACATCACTCACCGTCGACAAGGTAAACTATGACATCACTCACCGTCGGCAAGGTAAACTATGACATCACTCACCGTCGGCAAGGTAAACTATCCTATCTGGCCTCAGCCTGGTCGTAGCCTCGGGGCTGTCATGGGGTCCAGTGTATTGGAAATACTGTAACCAAGCTGCGCTAGCACGTAGAGGACCTGTCTGCTTGTGTCCATGTCCCTGACTGCTGGAGCCGGAGGAACAGGATTGCTTTGGGGATGTTCCACCCAAGACCTCTGTGACATTACACAAAACAATATCTGTGGCTCTGCTTTCACATTCACAAGTCAATTAATTAATATTCTAAGTGTTACAGCATTTTTCATTACCATCAGCGTAATTCATCACCTGTAATAATGTTACTGCTGACCTCTACACTGGACTGACCTGTGTTGTGTTTCCAGGACCGGATCATAGACGCTGGCCCCAAAGGAAACTACTCCCGCTTCATGAACCACAGCTGCCAGCCCAACTGTGACACGCAGAAGTGGACAGTGAACGGAGACACAAGAGTCGGGCTGTTCGCTGTTTGTGACATCCCTGCTGGTGAGAACCCAGACATGTCTGCTGTTGGCTTAGTTGTATGGTGTTTTGTGGTTTAAAGGGACTGTGTTAATGTACCGGATGTGAGTCGGGCTCATGGTCTCGTGAGGAGGTAGCACTACCTGAGACTTCACCCTCAGCTCAAAAGGGAATATCCTCTTGGTCTAACAGTCAAGACGTTGGTTTCTCCTGTGAGAGACCCGGGTTCAGATCCCACCCATGACATTAACATGGTGTTTTGTGGTTTCCAGGGACAGAGCTCACCTTCAACTACAACCTGGATTGCCTTGGTAATGAAAAGACGGTGTGTCGCTGTGGGGCTTCCAACTGTAGCGGTTTCCTTGGAGACCGGCCCAAGGTGAGTTGGCTCCTCTTGGTACAATCAGAAACGATCTGAATATTTAGAACAGCAACATCTTTATAAAATACATTCTAGAACATGATAACTCAAGAAACGATAGTCTTAAGGTCCACCTGACTATTGTCTCCTGTTCCAGACCTCTGGTTGCCAGGCCCCTATCTGACTGTTGTTTCCTGTCAGACGTCTGGTTGCCAGGCCCCTATCTGACTGTTGTTTCCTGTCAGACGTCTGGTTGCCAGGCCCCTATCTGACTGTTGTTTCCTGTCAGACGTCTGGTTGCCAGGCCCCTATCTGACTGTTTCCTGTCAGACGTCTGGTTGCCAGGCCCCTATCTGACTGTTTCCTGTCAGACGTCTGGTTGCCAGGCCCCTATCTGACTGTTGTTTCCTGTCAGACGTCTGGTTGCCAGGCCCCTATCTGACTGTTGTTTCCTGTCAGACGTCTGGTTGCCAGGCCCCTATCTGACTGTTGTTTCCTGTCAGACGTCTGGTTGCCAGGCCCCTATCTGACTGTTGTTTCCTGTCAGACGTCTGGTTGCCAGGCCCCTATCTGACTGTTTCCTGTCAGACGTCTGGTTGCCAGGCCCCTATCTGACTGTTGTTTCCTGTCAGACGTCTGGTTGCCAGGCCCCTATCTGACTGTTGTTTCCTGTCAGACGTCTGGTTGCCAGGCCCCTATCTGACTGTTGTTTCCTGTCAGACGTCTGGTTGCCAGGCCCCTATCTGACTGTTGTTTCCTGTCAGACGTCTGGTTGCCAGGCCCCTATCTGACTGTTGTTTCCTGTCAGACGTCTGGTTGCCAGGCCCCTATCTGACTGTTGTTTCCTGTCAGACGTCTGGTTGCCAGGCCCCTATCTGACTGTTGTTTCCTGTCAGACGTCTGGTTGCCAGGCCCCTATCTGACTGTTTCCTGTCAGACCTCTGGTTGCCAGGCCCCTATCTGACTGTTGTTTCCTGTCAGACGTCTGGTTGCCAGGCCCCTATCTGACTGTTGTTTCCTGTCAGACGTCTGGTTGCCAGGCCCCTATCTGACTGTTGTTTCCTGTCAGACGTCTGGTTGCCAGGCCCCTATCTGACTGTTGTTTCCTGTCAGACGTCTGGTTGCCAGGCCCCTATCTGACTGTTGTTTCCTGTCAGACGTCTGGTTGCCAGGCCCCTATCTGACTGTTGTTTCCTGTCAGACGTCTGGTTGCCAGGCCCCTATCTGACTGTTGTTTCCTGTCAGACGTTTGGTTGCCAGGCCCCTATCTGACTGTTTCCTGTCAGACCTCTGGTTGCCAGGCCCCTATCTGACTGTTGTTTCCTGTCAGACGTCTGGTTGCCAGGCCCCTATCTGACTGTTGTTTCCTGTCAGACGTCTGGTTGCCAGGCCCCTATCTGACTGTTGTTTCCTGTCAGACGTCTGGTTGCCAGGCCCCTATCTGACTGTTGTTTCCTGTCAGACGTCTGGTTGCCAGGCCCCTATCTGACTGTTGTTTCCTGTCAGACGTCTGGTTGCCAGGCCCCTATCTGACTGTTGTTTCCTGTCAGACGTCTGGTTGCCAGGCCCCTATCTGACTGTTGTTTCCTGTCAGACGTCTGGTTGCCAGGCCCCTATCTGACTGTTTCCTGTCAGACCTCTGGTTGCCAGGCCCCTATCTGACTGTTGTTTCCTGTCCAGACGTCTGGTTGCCAGGTCGCGGAGCCCAAGGTGAAGAAAGCCAAGAAGAAAGTGAAGAAGCGTAACGAGGGGAAGGAGTCTGAAGACGAGTGTTTCCGCTGTGGAGACGGAGGACAGCTGGTTCTATGTGACAAGAAAAGCTGCACCATGGCCTACCACCTCTCCTGCCTGGACCGCACCAAGAGGCCCTTCGGTAAGACCCCTAACCGCCTAACCCTACCACCTCTCCTGCCTGGACCGCACCAAGAGGCCCTTCGGTAAGACCCCTAACCCTACCACCTCTCCTGCCTGGACCGCACCAAGAGGCCCTTCGGTAAGACCCCTAACCGCCTAACCCTACCACCTCTCCTGCCTGGACCGCACCAAGAGGCCCTTCGGTAAGACCCCTAACCCTACCACCTCTCCTGCCTGGACCGCACCAAGAGGCCCTTCGGTAAGACCCCTAACCCTACCACCTCTCCTGCCTGGACCGCACCAAGAGGCCCTTCGGTAAGACCCCTAACCCTACCACCTCTCCTGCCTGGACCGCACCAAGAGGCCCTTCGGTAAGACCCCTAACCCTACCACCTCTCCTGCCTGGACCGCACCAAGAGGCCCTTCGGTAAGACCCCTAACCCTACCACCTCTCCTGCCTGGACCGCACCAAGAGGCCCTTCGGTAAGACCCCTAACCCTACCACCTCTCCTGCCTGGACCGCACCAAGAGGCCCTTCGGTAAGACCCCTAACCCTACCACCTCTCCTGCCTGGACCGCACCAAGAGGCCCTTCGGTAAGACCCCTAACCCTACCACCTCTCCTGCCTGGACCGCACCAAGAGGCCCTTCGGTAAGACCCCTAACCCTACCACCTCTCCTGCCTGGACCGCACCAAGAGGCCCTTCGGTAAGACCCCTAACCCTACCACCTCTCCTGCCTGGACCGCACCAAGAGGCCCTTCGGTAAGACCCCTAACTCCTAACCCTACCACCCCTAACCCCCTAACCCTACCACCCCTAACCCCCTAACCCTACCACCCCTAACCCCCTAACCCTACCACCTCTCCTGCCTGGACCGCACCAAGAGGCCCTTCGATAAGACCCTAATTTAAAAATGAAAAGCTGAAATGTCTCATCAATAAATATTCAACCCCTGTGTTACAGCAAGTCTAAATAAATTATGTTCAGGAGTAAAAATGTTCTTAACAAGTCACATGAAAATTTGCATGGACTCACTCTGTGTGCAATAATGGTGTTGAACATGATTTTGTAATGACTACCTCATCTCTGTACCCCACACAAACAATTATCTGTAAGGTCCCTCAGTCGAGCAGTGAATTTCAAACATCGATTCAACCACAAAGACGAGGGAGGTTTTCCAATGCCTCGCAAAGAAGGGCACTTATTGGTGTGTGTGTATATACACTGCTAAAAAAAATAAAGGGAACACTAAAATAACACATCCTAGATCTGAATGAATGAAATAATCTTATTAAATACTTTTTTCTTTACATAGTTGAATGTGCTGACAACAAAATCACACAAAAATTATCAATGGAAATCAAATGTATCAACCCATGGAGGTCTGGATTTGGAGTCACCCTCAAAATTAAAGTGGAAAACCACACTACAGGCTGATCCAACTTTGATGTAATGTCCTTAAAACAAGTCAAAATGAGGCTCAGTAGTGTGTGTGGCCTCCACGTGCCTGTAGGACCTCCCTACAACGCCTGGGCATGCTCCTGATGAGGTGGCGGATGGTCTCCTGAGGGATCTCCTCCCAGACCTGGACTAAAGCATCCGCCAACTCCTGGACAGTCTGTGGAGCAACGTGGCGTTGGTGGATGGAGCGAGACATGATGTCCCAGATGTGCTCAATTGGATTCAGGTCTGGGGAACGGGCGGGCCAGTCCATAGCATCAATGCCTTCCTCTTGCAGGAACTGCTGACACACTCCAGCCACATGAGGTCTAGCATTGTCTTGCATTAGGAGGAACCCAGGGCCAACCGCACCAGCATATGGTCTCACAAGGGGTCTGAGGATCTCATCTCGGTACCTAATGGCAGTCAGGCTACCTCTGGCGAGCACATGGAGGGCTGTGCGGCCCCCCAAAGAAATGCCACCCCACACCTGAACCTGCTTCCCATTTGTGTGGCCGTAATGCACCCTAAAATAATTCATGCCTTTTGTGGCCAGTGGCTGTTGTGCCCTTAACCCGGCGTTCTGCGCTTCCGAAGCACCCCTCACTCGCATGGCTCTCATCAAGTGATCGGGTCTTTCTCACAGGCTACAATTGAAGACCCGACACATCGGGGACGCAAATGCAATTCCGAGGTGCATGTTGGAAGAACTGTCCACATTTACTTTTCATCAGCCAACAAGATGAGTCGGCCTAACGAACAGCAAAAGCACTAGCCTATGTCAAACTACTGTCCCCCATAGTACAAAAGTCGACCTATTCCTATAGCCTGTTGCCAGTCAGGCTGGATAGTAACTGATTACTCACACTAACCTGCTAGCCTGCTGCCAGTCAGGATGGATAGTAACTGATTACTCACCCTAACCTGCTAGCTTCCTGCCAGTTAGGCTGGATAGTATCTGATTACTCACCCTAACCTGCTAGCTTCCTGCCAGTCAGGATGGATAGTAACTGATTACTCACCCTAACCTGCTAGCCTGCTGCCAGTTAGGCTGGATAGTATCTGATTACTCACCCTAACCTTCTAGCCTGTTGCCAGTCAGGCTGGATAGTACAGTCGTGGTCAAAGGTTTTGAGAATGACACAAATATTAATTTTCACAAAGTCTGCTGCCTCAGTTTTTATGATGGCAATTTGCATATACTCTAGAATGTTATGAGTGATCAGATGAATTGCAATGAATTGCAAAGTCCCTCTTTGCCATGAAAATGAACTTAATCCCAAAAAAACATTTCCACTGCATTTCAGCCCTGCCACAAAAGGACCAGCTGACATCATGTCAGTGATTCTCTCGTTAACACAGGTGAGAGTGTTGACGAGGACAAGGCTGGAGATCCCTCTGTCATGCTGATTGAGTTAGAATAACAGACTGGAAGCTTTAAAAGGAGGGTGGTGCTTGAAATCATTGTTCTTCCTCTGTTAACCATGGTTACCTGCAAGGAAAGACGTGCCGTCATCATTGCTTTGCACAAAAAGGGCTTCACAGGCAAGGATATTGCTGCTAGTAAGATTGCACCTAAATCAACCATTTATCGGATCATCAAGAACTTCAAGGAGAGAGGTTCAATTGTTGTGAAGAAGGCTTCAGGGCGCCCAAGAAAGTCCAGCAAGCGCCAGGACTGTCTCCTAAAGTTGATTAAGCTGCGGGATCGGGGCACCACCAGTGCAGAGCTTGCTCAGGAATGGCAGCAGGCAGGTGTGAGTGCATCTGCACGCACAGTGAGGCAAAGACTTTTGGAGGATGGCCTGGTGTCAAGAAGGGCAGCGAGGAAGCCACTTCTCTCCAGGAAAAAGATCAGGGACAGACTGATATTCTGCAAAAGGTACAGTGATTGGACTGCTGAGGACTGGGGTAAAGTCATTTTCTCTGATGAATCCCCTTTCCGATTGTTTGGGGCATCCGGAAAAAAGCTTGTCCGGAGAAGACCAGGTGAGCGCTACCATCAGTCCTGTGTCATGCCAACAGTAAAGCATCCTGAGACCATTCATGTGTGGGGTTGCTTCTCAGCCAAGGGAGTGGGCTCACTCACAATTTTGCCTAAGAACACAGCCATGAATAAAGAATGGTACCAACACATCCTCCGAGAGCAACTTCTCCCAACCATCCAAGAACAGTTTGGTGACGAACAATGCCTTTTCCAGCATGATGGAGCACCTTGCCATAAGGCAAAAGTGATAACTAAGTGGCTCAGGGAACAAAATATCGACATTTTGGGTCCATGGCCAGGAAACTCCCAAGACCTTAATCCCACTGAGAACTTGTGGTCAATCCTCAAGAGGACGGTGGACAAACAAAACCCCACAAATTCTGACAAACTCCAAGCATTGATTATGCAAGAATGGGCTGCCATCAGTCAGGATGTGGCCCAGAAGTTAATTGACAGCATGCCATGGCGGATTGCAGAGGTCTTGAAAAAGAAGGGTCAACACTGCAAATATTGACTCTTTGCATAAACTTAATGTAATTGTCAATAAAAGCCTTTGACACATATGGAATGGTTGTAATTATACTTCAGTATACCATAGTAACATCTGACAAAAATATCTAAAAACACTGAAGCAGCAAACTTTGTGAAGACCAATACTTGTGTCATTCTCAAAACTTTTGACCACGACTGTACTATCCCCCATAGTACAAAAGTCGACCTATTCTATTCTGTGGGAGAAATAAATATTCCAAACATAGTTTGGGACAGTTGTGGGATGCGATAGTTCGCAAATTAATACAACCACTAGCATCAAAAAAACGTTTAAATGCAATGTGGCTGACACAACAGATCAGAACGTTTAGCTTAAAATGTTGATAAACTATTAGGCTATTTCTTCACATTATAAGATCAGCAATGTGCACATGGCAGTAGGCTATTAGCGGGAATGTTCCATTAGCGGGAATGTTCCATTCTCAAAAGTGACCACAAATGCAATTATGCATGTAATTTGCTTTTATTACAAAGGTGCATTTTTATGGTGAAAATTATCTTCCCCAAAATTAAAACTCGCGCACTGCTTATATATGCCAGTTAGGCTCTACACCCCTTGTAAAGCGGATTAATGTGCTTCATTTTAAGAATTTTTTGGCCACTTTACTTTACAAACCTTATCAAAACATACAGTGCATTCGGAAAGTATTCAGACTGTTTCCACATTTTGTTACGTTACAGCCTTATTCAAAAATGGATTACATAAAAAATGTTCCTCATCAATCTACACACAATACCCCATAATGACAAAGCGTAATCAGGTTTTTAGAAATGTTTGCAAATGTATTAAAAATGAAAAAACAGACCTTATTTAAATAAGTATTCAGACCCTTTGCTCTGAGACTCAAAATTGAGCTCAGGTCCATCCTGTTTCCATTGATCGTCCTTGATGTTTCTACAACTTGATTGGAGTCCACCTGTGGTAAATTCAATTGATTGTATATGATTTGCAAAGGCACACACCTGTCTAGATAAGGTCCCACAGTTGACAGTGCATGTCAGAGCAAAAACCAAGCCATGAGGTCAAAGGAATTGTCCTTAGAGCTCCGACACAGGATTGTGTCGATGCACAGATCTGGGGAAGGATACCAAAAAAATTCTGCAGCATTGAAGGTCCCCAAGAACACAGTGGCCTTCATCATTCTTAAATGGAATAATTTTTGAACCACCAAGCCTCTTCCTAGAGCTGGCCGCCCGGCCAAACTGAGCAATCGGGGGAGAAGGACCTTGGTCAGGGAGGTGACGAAGAACCTGATGGTCACTCTGACAGAGCTCTAGAGTTCCTCTGTGGAGATGGGAGAACCTTCCAGAAGGACAACCATCTCTGCAGCACTCCACCAATCAGGCCTTTATGGTAGAGTGGCCAGACGGAAGCCACTACTCAGTAAAATGCACATGACAGCCCGCTTGGAGTTTTCCAAAAGGCACCTAAAGGACTCTAACAATGAGAAACAAGATTCTCTGGTCTGATGAAACCAAGATTGAACTCTTTGGCCTGAATGCTAAGGGTCACGTCTGAAGGAATCCAGGAACCGCTCATCACCTGGCCAATACCATCCCTATGGTGAAGCATGGTGGTGGCAGCATCATGCTGTGGGGATGTTTTTCAGCGTCAGGGACTTGGAGACTAGTCAGGATCAAGGGAAAGATGAACGGAGCAAAGTACAGAGATCCTTTATGAAAACCTGCTCCAGAGCGCTCAGGACCTCAGACTGGGGAGAAGGTTCACCTTCCAACAGGACAACGATCCTAAGCACACAACCAAGACAACGCAGGAGTGGCTTCGGGACAAGTCTCTGAATGTCCTTTAGTGGCCCAGCCAGAGCCCGGACTTGAACCCAATCAAACATCTCTGGAGAGACCTGAAAATAGCTGTGCAGCGACGCTCCCCATCCAATCTGACAGAGCTTGAGAGGATCTGCAGAGAAGAATGGGAGAAACTCCCCAAATACAGGTGTGCCAAGCTTGTAGCGTCACACCCAAGAAGACTCGACACTGTAATCGCTGCCAAAGGTGCTTCAACAAAGTACTGAGTAAAGGGTCTGAATACTTATGTAAATGTGATATTTCTGTTTGACATTTTTAATACATTTGCTCAAATTAATCCATTTTAGAATAATGCTGTAATGTAACAATGTGGAAAAAGTAAAAGGGGTCTGAATACTTTCTGAATGCACTGTACAATGTGTTGGATAGATAGATGTATATTATTATAATGTGTAATATAATGTATAATGGGTTACATATATTGTGTTAGGGTTAGATATACAGTGAGGGAAATAAGTATTTGATCCCCTGCTGATTTTGTATGTTTGCCCACTGACAAAGAAATTATAAGTCTATAATTTTAATGGTAGGTTTATTTGAACAGTAAGAGACAGAATAACAACAAAAAAAATCCAGAAAAACGCATGTCAAAAATGTTATAAATTGATTTGCATTTTAATGAGGGAAATAAGTATTTGACCCCCTCTCAATCAGAAAGATTTCTGGCTCCCAGGTGTCTTTTATACAGGTAATGAGCTGAGATTAGGAGCACACTGTTAAAGGGAGTGCTCCTAATCTCAGTTTGTTACCTGTATAAAAGACACCTGTCCACAGAAGCAATCAATCAATCAGATTCCAAACTCTCCACCATGGCCAAGACCAAAGAGCTCTCCAAGGATGTCAGGGACAAGATTGTAGACCTACACAAGGCTGGAATGGGCTACAAGACCATCGCCAAGCAGCTTGGTGAGAAGGTGACAACAGTTGGTGCGATTATTCGCTAATGGAAGAAACACAAAAAGAACTGTCAATCTCTCTCAGCCTGGGGCTCCATGCAAGATCTCACCTCATGAGAACGGTGAGGAATCAGCACAGAACTACACGGGAGGATCTTGTCAATGATCTCAAGGCAGCTGGTACCATAGTCACCAAGGAAACAATTGGTAACACACTACGCCGTGAAGGACTGAAATCCTGCAGCGCCCGCAATGTCCCCCTGCTCAAGAAAGCACATATACATACGCTTCTGAAGTTTGCCAATGAACGTCTGAATGATGCAGAGGAGAACTGGGTGAAAGTGTTGTGGTCAGATGATACCAAAATCGAGCTCTTTGGCATCAACTCAACTCGCCGTGTTTGGAGGAGGAGGAATGCTGCCGATGACCCCAAGAACACCATCCCCACCGTCAAACATGGAGGTAGAAACATTATGCTTTGGGGGGATTTTACTGCTAAGGGGACAGGACAACTTCACCGCATCAAACGGACGATGGACGGGGCCATGTACCGTCAAATCTTGGGTGAGAACCTCCTTCCCTCAGCCAGGGCATTGAAAATGGGTTGTGGATGGGTATTTTAGCATGACAATGACCCAAAACACACGGCCAAGGCAACAAAGGAGTGGCTCAAGAAGAAGCACATTAAGGTCCTGGAGTGGCCTAGCCAATCTCCAGACCTTAATCCCATAGAAAATCTGTGGAGGGAGCTGAAGGTTTGAGTTGCCAAACGTCAGGCTCGAAACCTTAATGACTTGGTGAAGATCTGCAAAGAGGAGTGGGACAAAATCCCTCCTGAGATGTGTGCAAACCTGACTACAAGAAACGTCTGACCTCTGTGATTGCCAAAAAGGGTTTTGCGTTTTTTGTTGTTATTCTGTCTCCCACTGTTCAAATAAACCTACCATTAAAATTATAGACTGATCATGTCTTTGTCAAGGGGCAAACGTACAAAATCAGCAGGGGATCAAATACTTTTTTCCCTCACTGTACACTGCTAAAAAAAATAAAGGGAACACTTAAACAACACAATGTAACTCCAAGTCAATCACACTTCTGTGAAATCAAACTGTCCACTTAGGAAGCAACACTGATTGACAATACATTTCACATGCTGTTGTGCAAATGGAATAGACAACAGGTGGAAATTATAGGCAAGACACCCCCAATAAAGGACTGGTTTTGCAGGTGGTGACCACAGACCACTTCTTAGTTCCTATGCTTCCTGGCTGATGTTTTGGTCACTTTTGAATGCTGGCGGTGCTTTCACTCTAGTGGTAGCATGAGAAGGAGTCTACAACCCACACAAGTGGCTCAGGTAGTGCAGCTCATCCAGGATGGCACATCAATGCGAGCTGTGGCAAGAAGGTTTGCTGTGTCTGTCAGCGTAGTGTCCAGAGCATGGAGGCGCTACCAGAAGACAGGCCAGTACATCAGGAGACGTGGAGGAGGCTGTAGGAGGGCAACAACCCAGCAGCAGGACCGCTACCTCCGCCTTTGTGCAAGGAGGAGCAGGAGGAGCACTGCCAGAGCCCTGCAAAATCACCTCCAGCAGGCCACAAATGTGCATGTGTCTGCTCAAACGGTCAGAAACAGACTCCATGCGGGTGGTATGAGGGCCCGACGTCCACAGGTGGGGGTTGTGCTTACAGCCCAACACCGTGCAGGTTGCCAGAGAACACCAAGATTGGCAAATTCGCCACTGGCGCCCTGTGCTCTTCACAGATGAAAGCAGGTTCACACTGAGCACATGTGACAGACGTGACAGAGTCTGGAGACGCCGTGGAGAACGTTCTGCTGCCTGCAACATCCTCCAGCATGACCGGTTTGGCGTTGGGTCAGTCATGGTGTGGGGTGGCATTTCTTTGGGGGGCCGCACAGCCCTCCATGTGCTCGCCAGAGGTAGCCTGACTGCCATTAGGTACCGAGATGAGATCCTCAGACCCCTTGTGAGACCATATGCTGGTGCGGTTGGCCCTGGGTTCCTCCTAATGCAAGACAATGCTAGACCTCATGTGGCTGGAGTGTGTCAGCAGTTCCTGCAAGAGGAAGGCATTGATGCTATGGACTGGCCCGCCCGTTCCCCAGACCTGAATCCAATTGAGCACATCTGGGACATCATGTCTCGCTCCATCCACCAACGCCACGTTGCACCACAGACTGTCCAGGAGTTGGCGGATGCTTTAGTCCAGGTCTGGGAGGAGATCCCTCAGGAGACCATCCGCCACCTCATCAGGAGCATGCCCAGGCGTTGTAGGGAGGTCATACAGGCACGTGGAGGCCACACACACTACTGAGCCTCATTTTGACTTGTTTTAAGGACATTACATGAAAGTTGGATCAGCCTGTAGTGTGGTTTTCCAATTTAATTTTGAGGGTGACTCCAAATCCAGACCTCCATGGGTTGATACATTTGATTTCCATTGATAATTTTTGTGTGATTTTGTTGTCAGCACATTCAACTATGTAAAGAAAAAACTATTTAATAAGATTATTTCATTCATTCATATCTAGGATGTGTTATTTTAGTGTTCCCCTAAATTCTCCCATGACCCCATTTTCATATCAGGTGACCCAAAGGGAACGGCTGGATTAGATTAGATTATAATGTGTTAGTTCTATAATAGCTGTTTATAATGGTTATGTTATATTTCAGGGCGCTGGGACTGCCCGTGGCACCACTGTGATGTGTGTGGGAAGCCATCTGAGGCGTTCTGCCAGCTGTGCCCCAACTCCTTCTGCAAGAACCACCAGGAGGGGGCGCTGCGTCCCTGGCCCCCCAAGGGACAGCTCTGCTGCCAGGAGCACGACCACCCCTAACCCAACACCCAGAGTGGACTGAGGCCTACGCTGACCTGGCCCCCGACACACCCCCTACAGGCTTCAGGAGAGGCCTTGAGTTTCAGGTTCAACAGCCTGACCTGCAGCAGAACAGGACCCAAGATGGCAGACAGACAGACAGCCCTGTATGTTGTCTCTCCTCATCAGGGATCTGCTGTACTAATCCACAGCTCCAACCAATCAGGTCCTTCCATTCAGACAGACAACCAATCAGGTCTTTCCATTCAGACAGACAACCAATCAGGTCCTTCCACTCAGCTTCTACCTGTTGTGTTTGTCTGTAACTCGTCTGCACTGAGAGAACTGAACACACACCTCCCAGCTACGGTCAGCAGACTACAGTGCACCTCCCAGCTACGGTCAGCAGACTACAGTACACCTCCCAGCTACGGTCAGCAGACTACAGTACACCTCCCAGCTACGGTCAGCAGACTACAGTGCACCTCCCAGCTACGGTCAGCAGACTACAGTACACCTCCCAGCTACGGTCAGCAGACTAGAGTACACCTCCCAGCTACGGTCAGCAGACTACAGTACACCTCCCAGCTACGGTCAGCAGACTACAGTACACCTCCCAGCTACGGTCAGCAGACTACAGTGCACCTCCCAGCTACGGTCAGCAGACTACAGTGCACCTCCCAGCTACGGTCAGCAGACTACAGTACACCTCCCAGCTACGGTCAGCAGACTACAGTACACCTCCCAGCTACGGTCAGCAGACTACAGTACACCTCCCAGCTACGGTCAGCAGACTACAGTACACCTCCCAGCTACGGTCAGCAGACTACAGTACACCTCCCAGCTACGGTCAGCAGACTACAGTACACCTCCCAGCTACAGCATTAGTCTCATCTCTTGAAGTGCCACTCCTTCTCTCCCCTCATAGGTGATTTTGAACAGTCAAGGTTTCTATTATTTGTGTGTGTATCTGAAAGACCAACATTCTACTGGAATATGGTCAGTCCCAGGTTGGCAGATTGGGTTTTTATATCTGTAAAACAGAAGACTATGGATAGGCCTTGAATTATGAATGTTTCCTGTAATAGCCATAGGATACATTTCATTATAGACAAGAACATAATATTGTTTTCATTGTTTTCTTCATTTGAGTAATGCTAGTACAACTGGTCAGACAGAGCTGAAATCTTATTGTGGACTTCTACTCTGGACTTTTACTCTGAAACCTTATTGGAGGTTATTTCAGGTTTTATACTTTAGTCATTTACATGAGCCAAAAGTATGTGGACACCAGCTCGTCGAACATCTCATTCCAAAATCATGGGCATTAATATGGAGTTGGTCCCCCCTTTGCTACTATAACAGCCTCCACTCTTCTGGGAAGGCTTTCCACTAGATGTTGGAACATTGCTGCAGGGACTTGCTTCCATTCAGACACGAGCATTAGTGAGGTCGGGCACTGATGTTGGGCTGTTAGGCCTGGCTCGCAGTCAGCGTTCCAATTCATCCCAAAGGTGTTGGGTGGGGTTGAGGTTAGGGCTCTGTGCAGGCCAGTCAAGTTCTTCCACACTGATCTCGACAAACCCTTTCTGTATGGACCACGCTATGTGCACAGTGGCATTGTCATGCTGAAACAGGAAAGGGCCTTCCCCAAACTGTTGCCACAAAGTTGGAAGCACAGAATCTTTTAGAATGTCATTGTATGCTGTAGCGTTAAGATTTCCCTTCACTGGAACTAAGGGGCCTAGCCCGAACCATGAAAAACAGCCCCAGACCATTATTCCTCCTCCATCAAACTTTACAGTTGGCACTATGCATTCGGGCAGGTAGCATCCTCCTGGCATCCACCAAACCCAGATTCGTCCATCAGACTGCCAGATGGTGAAGCATGATTCATCACTCCAGAGAACGCGTTTCACTGCTCCAGAATCCAATGGCGGCGAGCTTTACACCACTCCAGCCGATGCTTGGCATTGCGCATGGTGATCTTAGGCTTGTGTGCGGCTGCTCAGCCATGGAAACCCATTTCATGAAGCTCCCGACGAACAGTTCTTGTGCTGACATTGCTTCCAGAGGCAGTTTGGAACTCGGTAGTGAGTGTTGCAACCGAGGACAGACTATTTTTACGCGCTACGTGCTTCAGCACTCGGTGGTCCCGTTCTGTGAGCTTGTGTGGTCTACCACTTCTCAGCTGAGCCGTTGTTGCTCCTAGACGTTTCCACTTCACAATAACAGCCCTTACAGTTGACCAGGGCAGCTCTAGCAGGGCAGAAATTTGACAAACTGACTTATGGGAAAGGTGGTATCCTATGACGATGCCACATTGAAAGTCACTGAGCTCTTCAGTAAGGCCATTCTACTGCCAATGGTTGTCTATGGAGATTGCATGGCTGTCTGCTCAATTTTATACACCTGTCACAGCAACGAGTGTGGCTGAAATAGCTGAATCCACTCATTTGAAGGCTGTCCACATACTTATGTCTATATAGTGCATGTACTTTACTAGTCGTCTGAGTTTCCTGATGTAGAAGTTTTCCAGACCTGATAACAATCAAACACACCAAAGTCATTATTATATATATATTTATTATATTTATAATTTATATTATCATTTATATTTTATCATTATGGCCGAACTGGTAGCTCAGATAGAATGCAAACTACAAAAGTTGAGACAATTTTGAAGTATTTTTTGCTTTTAAGAATTGGAAGCAAGAGGTTCTTATTGATGCTTTGTCGGTACAGTATTAATAATCTAACAACTCTTTAGTCTCGGCCATGTACTGATGTCGTCAGTATCAACATGTACCTGTGCTTTTAATACCGGAATAAAGTGGACTTTTATTGAAGTTAGTTCAGTACGCTTTAATCTTTGTTTCAACCTGTCCACAGTTTGAGTTGTTGAGGTCCATGTTGAAGCTAACCCTTCTACCCCATCAGGATGTGAGTCCCGGTTCAGTCATCTCTAGACAGTGTTTGATCTGCTGGGAGAGAAGCCTGTCGAACGTTTCCCCATTCACTCTAATGACAGCTGAATCTACAGGTACAAGTTGTTTTATAATCCGAAGTGAAAGGGACATGGACACAACAGCCAGGTCCTCATGTACAGTGGGGAAAAAAAGTATTTAGTCAGCCACCAATTGTGCAAGTTCTCCCACTTCAAAATATGAGAGAGGCCTGTAATTTTCATCATAGGTACACGTCAACTATGACAGACAAAATGAGATTTTTTTTTCTCCAGAAAATCACATTGTAGGATTTTTAATGAATTTATTTGCAAATTATGGTGGAAAATAATTATTTGGACAATAACAAAAGTTTCTCAATACTTTGTTATATACCCTTTGTTGGCAATGACACAGGTCAAAGTTTTCTGTAAGTCTTCACAAGGTTTTCACACACTGTTGCTGGTATTTTGGCCCATTCCTCCATGCAGATCTCCTCTAGAGCAGTGATGTTTTGGGGTTGTCGCTGGGCAACACAGACTTTCAACTCCCTCCAAAGATTTTCTATGGGGTTGAGATCTGGAGACTGGCTAGGCCACTCCAGGATCTTGAAATGCTTCTTACGAAGCCACTCCTTCGTTGCCCGGGCGGTGTGTTTGGGATCATTGTCATGCTGAAAGACCCAGCCACGTTTCATCTTCAATGCCCTTGCTGATGGAAGGAGGTTTTCACTCAAAATCTCACGATACATGGCCCCATTCATTCTTTCCTTTACACGGATCAGTCGTCCTTGTCCCTTTGCTGAAAAACAGCCCCAAAGCATGATGTTTCCACCCCCATGCTTCACAGTAGGTATGGTGTTCTTTGGATGCAACTCAGCATTCTTTGTCCTCCAAACACGATGAGTTGAGTTTTTACCAAAAAGTTCTATTTTGGTTTCATCTGACCATATGACATTCTCCCAATCCTCTTCTGGATCATCCAAATGCACTCTAGCAGACGGGCCTGGACATGTACTGGCTTAAGCAGGGGGACACGTCTGCACTGCAGGATTTGAGTCCCTGGCGGCGTAGTGTGTTACTAATGGTAGGCTTTGTTACTTTGGTCCCAGCTCTCTGCAGGTCATTCACTAGGTCCCCCCGTGTGGTTCTGGGATTTTTGCTCACCGTTCTTGTGATCATTTTGACCCCACGGGGTGAGATCTTGCGTGGAGCCCCAGATCGAGGGAGATTATCAGTGGTCTTGTATGTCTTCCATTTCCTAATAATTGCTCCCACAGTTGATTTCTTCAAACCAAGCTGCTTACCTATTGCAGATTCAGTCTTCCCAGCCTGGTGCAGGTCTACAATTTTGTTTCTGGTGTCCTTTGACAGCTCGTTGGTCTTGGCCATAGTGGAGTTTGGAGTGTGACTGTTTGAGGTTGTGGACAGGTGTCTTTTATACTGATAACAAGTTCAAACAGGTGCCATTAATACAGGTAACGAGTGGAGGACAGAGGAGCCTCTTAAAGAAGAAGTTACAGGTCTGTGAGAGCCATAAATCTTGCTTGTTTGTAGGTGACCAAATACTTATTTTCCACCATAATTTGCAAATAAATTCATAAAAAATCCTACAATGTGATTTTCTGGAAAAAAAATTCTCGATTTGTCTGTCATAGTTGACGTGTACCTATGATGAAAATTACAGGCCTCTCTCATCTTTTTAAGTGGGAGAACTTGCACAATTGGTGGCTGACTAAATACTTTTTTTCCCCACTGTACAGAGTTCAGCAGTCTCCACTATCGCCCTATAACTTAACCTCCCCTATCACCCTATAACCCTAACCCAACCCTCTCTCTATCCTGGCAGAGTTCGCCCTATCATCAACCCATTACCCCCGCTCTACCCTAGTCGATAACCAACCCCTCGCGGACCCGAGCAGACAACCACCCCGCGCGCGACCGGGAGCAGAAACCCAACCCCCGCGAGCCCGGAGCAGAACCCAACCCCCGCGAACCTCGAGCAGGATACCCCAACCGCGCGCGACCGGAGCAGAACCCAACCCCAGCGAGACCGAGCAGAACCCCATACCCCCAGTCGCGTACCGAGCAGTAAACCCAACCCCCGCTCGACCGGAGCAGAACCCAACCACCGCGACCGGAGCAGAACCCAACCCCAGCGACCCGGAGCAGAACCCAACCCGCGCGTTGCCGCGGAGCAGAACCCAACCCACGGCACCCGGCAGAACCCAACCCGCGCGCGACCCGAGCAGAACCCAACCCGCGCGCGACCCGAGCAGAACCCAACCCGCGCGCGACCGGAGCAGAACCCAACCCGCGCGGACCGGAGCAGAACCCAACCCCCGCGACCCGAGCAGAACCCAACCCCCGCGACCCGAGCAGAACCCAACCCCCGCGCGACCGGAGCAGAACCCAACCCCCGCGACCGGAGCAGAACCCAAACCCCCGCGCGACCGGAGCAGAACCCAACCCCCGCGACACCGGAGCAGAACCCAACCCCCGCGACCCGAGCAGAACCCAACCCGCGCGACCGCAGCAGAACCCAACCCGCGCGCGACCCGAGCAGAACCCCAACCCCCGCGCGACCGGAGCAGAACCCCAACCCCCGCGACCGGAGCGGAACCCAACCCCCGCGACCCGAGCAGAACCCAACCCGCTGCGCGACCGGAGCAGAACCCAACCCCCGCGACCCGAGCAGAACCCAACCCCCGCGACCCGAGCAGAACCCAACCCGCGCGACCGCAGCAGAACCCAACCCGCGCGCGACCCGAGCAGAACCCAACCTCCCGCGCGACCCGAGCAGAACCCAACCCCCGCGACCCGAGCAGAACCAAACCCGCGCGACCGCAGCAGAACCCAACCGCGCGCGACCCGAGCAGAAACCCAAACCCACCGCGCGACCCGAGCAGAACCCAAACCCGCGCGCGACCGGAGCAGAACCCAA